AATCCTTGACCATGATGACCTACATAAAGAAAAGCTGCTAGTAAATGAAAGAGATCTGTCAGCGCGACGGTTTGGGGATCAACTACGACTCGAGTGAGCTCACAGATGTCGTTAACGTGATCAAAGTGATAAAATGATTACAGAGTAATCTTGACTGTTTTTAAGGTGCATCTGAACGAACACTCCTCTGAAAAGGTTATTATCGCATACAGCAGTAATCAGCTACATGATAACACTGTAAAATTACCATTAAAAAACATTTATCGTACTAGCAAAAGACAGACAGGAGCCTCCACCTGACAGCTGCTGTAATGTTTTATTTATACTTCCTTCAGATCCCATCAGACAGACACACACTGTTACTGAATACCAGATGTTCTTACTAACAGTAATCTCCTTTTTTTAAGTCTTATTGGTTGAGCGCGTATGCCTCATGTACCTGTCAGGCAGCCTGGCCTCACTGCTCCCTTTTAGCAACTTTCCTTGTTATTACCTTCATTGTCAGTCTCTCTTCAACACGTTTCTCTTCACCCTAATCCTTCCCACACTCGCCGTAATCCTCCTTACTCCGCTTGCTTATCTTCAAACAAATTCCTCCCCGTTGGTATCGCGCTCTCGCCCATCTCTCTCGGTTAATATTGATTCCAGAGGGCCAAACGTTTAAGTCTTGGGACTTGCAAAGGCTTGTGGGCTGTCTTTCTATAGATGGAGGGTTTTAGCAATACAATCTTCTCAAAATCTGTTTTCAAAGACTTTAAACACCACCAGCTATGCCAGGGTCAGGCTCAGACCACAGAGGGTAATGGCATAGAGGATTAGATGGAAGAAAGCCACAGCTCACCTGAATTAGACCTGAGCGAAGGCAGCGGAGACTCCAATGCACGAAACAACTCTAACTCCCGTCCTTCTCCTTTTAAGCCATCTTTCTTCTGATTGGCTGCCCCTTTTCCAACAGCAGGTGGGTGGGGCTTCTGTGCTGTGGACCATGAATTGGCCATATTAACCCTTTAAAACCGGTCGGAGCGGGCACGCTCTGTTTTGCGTAACTATTT